TTGACACAGCCTCAATCAAGGACATAGCAGCAGATAAATGTGTCTTTTTTTCTCTTGGTTTCTTTCTCTTGCAAGGTTATCCATTGTGGTTTTGGCACTGCTGTATTCCCATTTGTTTAGAAAACATGGGAGTAGAAGGGGGCTGTGATGACACTGCCTACCTCTCTGCTTGCCTGCCTGTCTTGCCACCTTCACTCTAATTGAATCTGAAAAAATTCAGTGAAATTTGCAGGTGAAATCGAAATTAGAAAGGTAATGTACTCTTAAGTTCTGAAATGGTGCAGTATGAACTTGTATTTTAGAAGAGAACAGTGCATCTAGTGCAGATTCTTTTGCTCCAGCTGTAAGAGAGGTTTCAGACTCAGACTGTACTGGACACATGAGTCCAGGATACCACGAGGCACAGCTGGTAAAGCATTGACAGTGAAGAAGTGTGCAGAGAAGATCGTAATAGGGGAATTGTCAGAAAATTTTTGTTTGATATCTACAGTCAGAGCTATTACACATCCTGTGCAGGTTTAATGGCTTGGGATAAAGGAGCAAAAATTTCTATAGTAGGTAAAATATATTTCCCAGGCATTATTAACATTGTTCTGAATACATCACAGTAATGTGACAAGAGCAAATGAAGACAACACGGGCAGTGGAAACACAGAATTTAAAAATGAAAGTGATTGATCATGTGTCAGGAAGCACTAAGATATGCTGGAGTGATTTAAGCGGGTTTTCTGCAGTTTAGCATCTGGGCTAGTTAATAGCTGGGAAGGCATAGATCCCAGCTGATGCTTTCTTTTATTGTTGGAATGTTTATAAAGTCTCTGTTTGTATTCACTGGCATACAGGGGAGACTGGACTCTGCTGCAGTCTGTCTCGTGGCTGAGGAGTCCACCAGCGTCTGTATCCTCTCATCAGCTGCTCATTTTCATGAAAACTATGAGAACTGAGTAGCTTGACACCATCAGATTGTGACTAAAATGATCATTTTGTCAAAAGAAATTGAGGAATTAAGAGTGGGAGAGAGACATGCATCTGCATATTTCACGGATGGTCACATGTTTCCTGAGAAGGCCAGACTCTAATAGGTGTCCAAAGGAGGGTGAATGATGCTTCTTTCTCTTCTTATCTCTTGACTGTACTTCTGACCAGGCTCACACTGTTAATCTAAAGATTTAGAACACTGTCCTTAATTTAATGTTGACTTGTGGGGGCAAAGGTGATGGTGATTTGTAAATAGAAAGAAATGAGCCTTTGCCTTCAGCTGGGACAGCACAGACTAACAATCAGTCATCCGTCAGGATGGATAAATCACAAAAGCCAAGTCGAATCCTGTAGAGTTAAAGGCCAGATGGATGGTCCAGATCCAGGACTATGCCTCATGTGGAAGGCAGGATGGATGCCCCTGCACATTTCTGGCGTGATGGTTGAAGATCTGGCTGGTTATGAGTGCAAGCTTTCCTGGTGCTGTGGCCAAGCAGCTTGGCAGCTGGGAGTGAAGGACAGATTATGGATTTCCTTGGCTCTGCTCCTTGCATTGTGGGCTAAATGTGGCAGAGCCGCAACCACGTACTGGTGTTGTCTGCCTGTTCAGGGGGCTTTGGTACCTCTGGGAGTCCCGTGCTGCCCCAGCATGAGGGAGGACAGCTGGCAACCAGGGCTGGCTCTGTGCTCCCTTACTAATGAGTGGAACTGAATGGGGTCTGGTCCTTACTAACAGATTTCTAACAGGTGGATTTGTAGTGTTACACAGATTACAGTGTAGCTGGAGCAGCCTTACCATGCAATCCTTACTCAGAAAATATTGTTCCTGCATCTCTGTCGTGTATTTGAATGCAGAGTGGTGCCCAAAAGAAAAGAGAGGCAGAGTTCTCCTAGAATATTGCATTGAACTTACTTGCACACTTACTGTCCAAGTGTTGTAAATTTTGTCAGCTTATAAGCTTTACCAGTATTGCACTTTCTTAGGAGAAAGTGTCTGTAACATACCAAAATGCACGTGGCTGTGGTTCTACATGTGTGTGGTTAGAGCAGGCAGTGAGCATTTCAATCGTAATCACATGGGGAATGAAAGTTGTATAAACCCTAGAATGAGTTGAGATACCACATATATACCACATAGACAGGCAGCACCTTGCTGATGTGCATGGCTGTTGCCTGTCATTAATGAAGGGCTGTCACTAAGTAACTGTACAATTAGCATCCATATGGTGTGCACATGCATACACACACGCTTGCAGTGGGAGTAGGAATACAAAAAGGCAAGGCAGGCACACCCTTCTGTTTCATCTTCATAAAAGGCTCCCACAGCTCTTAACATGCTAAGCTCGGAGCATAGAAGTGCAAAAGAATAAAAGCAGCTCTCCAGCTGGTGATGCACAGCCATGAAGCAGCCATGAGCTTTACGGGAATGACATTTATGGCTGACATCAGATCTGAGTATTTGCATTGGATTTCAGTGTCAGCATCGGAGGTGGGGCTTAGAAGGGACACTGATCTAGCTAAGAGGCAGCTCTGTCTGGGAAGATACTCGCTCCCCATCTCTCTGCTATCCTGCTTGCTTCTGACTCCTCCCTCCTGCAGCTCAGATCAGCACAGGGTGAATCCAACAGCCTCCCATTTCTACTATGTTTCTCCTTGAGCTTGAACATACCTGGTGCTCTACCTTCGTTTCAGCTGAACTCGTGAGTAAGGCACATTGCCTGATATCTCTCAAAAGTGAATAGCTTGTTATTACCTGAAGAGACTGAATTAACTATCTTCCAGTACTGAAAGGGTTATGAAGAACTGTATTTTTTCCAGCACCTCCGATACTTCTTTGTTGCCTGATTTTTCAAGAGCATGAGTTATTCTGGTTATCAAGGGAGCTTAAACCTGAATATTTCTTTACCGGATGCTACAAAAAAAGAAAGGAAAACAAACTTACGATGTGGAACTAACAGTTATGGTTTCAGCTTGTGAAAACTTGCAGAGTCAGTGAGAAGGCAAGGAACAACATTTGCCAAGGACAATGTCGGTAATGCTTAGTAATTTGTCACTCAATGGGACGAGCTTCTTCACTGAAAATCATAGCATTATGGATAAACCTAATGAACAGAGAACTTTGAATGTCTTTCTATTTTGCTTGACTTTTATAATTGCATTCACAGTGCTTCTGGGCAGCATTTATTCACTAGTTTCCCTGCTTAAAATGCAGAATAAATCCACAATTTCAATGATTGTGACCTCTTTGTCAATAGATGATTTGATCAGCATTGTGCCAGTGATTATTTTCATGCTTACCCAGTGGTCAAGTGATGCCCTTCCTCAGCCTCTGTGCACCACTTCAGCACTTATATATTTACTCCAGGGCATTTCTAGCAATCTGAAAGCGTCTCTTATAGTTTCCTACAACTTCTATAGCATCAACAAAACTGAGACAATGAACTGCAGTGCTTCCAAACGACGAGTGAGCATAGTATGGGCAATTCTCAGCATTTGGATCGTCAGTTTGCTGATCTGCATTTTGCCTCTCTGTGGTTGGGGCAAGTACATCCCCACCTCATGGGGTTGCTTCACAGACCATTCAAGTTCCTACATCTTGTTCTTATTTATTGTCTACTCGTTGTGCTTTTGCCTCCTCACAGTGCTGTCTGTCCCTCTAACTTACCAGCTGTTGTGCTCAGATGAACAACAGCTATTACACATTGATTACCAGGAAATCTCTCGAGGCTGCATCACCCCTGGGACACCTGCAGGCTGCAGTACTGCCACCCCATGTCTGTCACCAGTGGACCCTGTGGATAAAACCCTGAAGCATTTCCAAAATGCATGTATAAGCTCAAAGCCAGTTTTTAGGAAAGGTGTGGCTGAGAGCAGTGGACTTGAGCCCCGATGCATGAACAACGCAAAGAGCAGGAGCTTCACAGTGGGCTTTGCCCAGAAACGATTCTCACTGATTCTTGCATTGACAAAAGTCATTCTCTGGCTTCCAATGATGGTAAATTGTCACATTGATTTGCTTTTTAATGTTTACTTATGTTTAAATGGGTCAGGAGTTGATGTGCCATGAATTGAAATAGATGAACAGTAGCTGTTGTAGTTGTTCCTTATAGCGTACACTGTGTCAGCAAAAGACCTTTTGAACATGTCTGCACCACTTTACATGAATTTAACTGCTTTTCAGCAGGTTTGACAGAGACTGATTTGTCAGAATGTTACTCTGTCATCACATCATTTGTATCACCTAAGCACAAAGATGAGTAAGGTCCACCTTTTTGTGTTTCCAGTTGCCTGACATGCATTTTTTCAGTATTATAGGGTCTGTGAATATTAGTAAGCTAGCTCTTATGCCCCTCCTCATAGCAGTGAGTCACGTTCTTTGCCAAACTGGCTGAAAAATCAGAGTTTTTTTAGAAAAATGAGATTTGTATGCATCTTTTTAATCTCTATACAAAGAGTATATGAGGTAGGGCCAGTGATTTTTCATGCATGCACTGGTATATTTGGGAACAGATATAATCATTAATAATTAGGAAGGAGGAGATTGAGGAAATGGGATGTGGGCTTGGGTTATCTCTGAGGCTGGAGTATGTATAGACACAGCATCTAAGATTCTCTCAACTGAAAGAGAGCATCACAGAGCATCTGTTGCACAGACCTGGTGGTACAAAGTCCTCCTATGTTCCCATCAGGAGGTGGAGTTCCTCAGTATCAGGCAGGAGAGATTGAGCTACAATCTCTCCTGAGATACTTAGACTGTGAGTTGCCTGTATTAATGGTACTTGGGCATCTGTATTCAATGTTTAGCTTAAGAAGGAGGTTTCTAAAAAATTGAGAATGAGGAGGAGAATCATTGACAGTATGTTTTCTCATCTGTCTCTTAGAAAAAAAAAATTGTTAAGCTGAACATACAAACATATTGAAAACTTCTAGCTTTTACTTGTGTCACATTCATGTTCTGTTTATTCCTGGAAGTATATCATATGCCTAAAGCAATTTAAATTTCAAAATGTTCTGCCTTTCAGATACAAATGGTTGTCCAGCACATCATTGGCTATCAAAGCCTTTCGTTTGAGACACTTAGCTTCCTGCTGACATTGCTAGCTGCCACCGTCACCCCAGTATTTGTCCTGTCAGAGCACTGGACCCACCTGCCCTGTGGCTGCATCATAAACTGCAGGAGGAATTCATATGCTGTGTCTTCAGAGGAACTCAAAAGTAAGGCTGGGAGGCTGACGTACAGGTGGAATGTAGTTAGGAAGTTAGTAACAGTTCTTGGTATTCTTCGAAATCATTTACCCAAAGTACCTGAATTACATGAACATTATTTGGAGCAGTATAGGCGATTCACAGCATTCTTGCAAGATAGCTGGAGAAAAGTAAGCTGGCTGGTACTAGTGGATAGTGAGGCATAGAAGCTTGCTGAGTTTCCCAAGTCGCTGACAGAGCTTTCAACAGAGCTCTGAATGTGGACTCTGTATCCTAGTTTCCCTCTCCTCTCCAAGATGTATCTGTCAGAATCTGACTTCTACTGGTGAAATACATGGACCATGTTAACTGTGGCATGGGGAAAAAGCAATGTGTTAATTGCAAGGAGATTATAAAAAGGAGAACAGCTATTGTTTCTACACCTGCCCTATAGCTAGCAAATAGAAATAATAGTGACACAAGAAAACAAACCACAAAGGACAAGGAGGGTCATTATCCCAGTACGTTCATAGAGTTAGTTCAAAGCTGAAGACGTACTACACAGCTTTGGCCTCAAAAATTTCATGTTTATTGCATGTTTATAAAAATTACCTGAAGGTAACCGAGAATAGCAGACCTTTACATGATAACCTCTTTAGAATTTTCTGAAGGCCTTTTTTCCCTTGTGCCTCCAGGTAAAACCAGCTGCTGGAGAATGTGCCATCTGTGCCACAGCCTGTCTCTCTAGATGCTACATGACTTTTGTCCTTTTTGTAGTGAACTTGGTCATGTCGTAACTCTCAGGCAGTAAACAGAGAAATGCAACTATCACTCTGTGAACTTACCCCCAGTGAAAAACACATTTAGGTTTCTGTAAATGCAGGTAACATGACATTTATGGCTCAAATTTTGCATAATGCTTTCCCACAGATTTCCTGCTCACACTTATTTGTGAAATAAATCTTCAGTGTTCATGTGTCTGTGCAGAAGTGTTGTATTCTGAATTACAAATGAAAATACAACTCTTTGAGTACTCTGAGAGAAGTATTTGCACTGAAGGTTGATTTCAGTACTCAGAAATGTTTCATCATTTTGTACAACTTTTCACCTTTAGGACTGTGGCTGAAACAGGCTCTGGGGGAAAAGAAAGGTATTACAAAATTAAAATACTTTTTTGTGTGTAGTCCATAAAACATGATGCACCAAGAAAATGGCAGGCAACCTAGCAGTTTCTTGGAATCCATGAACTTTGAAATGCATTATTTCTGAGTTCATTGACAAGGCAGTGCTATCTGAGACATTGATTCTTAATAATTCTTTCTCTTTATGCATAGCAATAACTAAATTTGTATTCCATGTTTTAGAATGTTTCATTGCGTATATAATCTCATTTTCTTCTTGGCTTTGACTCTTCCTGATAAAACATTTCATTCCTTTTTGTTCAGCCAAACACAGAGGTTTCGAATTCAACCTTTCCTTCCAGCACAGTTACGGGATCTATCGAATATCCCCCGAAAGCCACCACCACGATGGCGATGGTAAATCCACGTCGTGCCACAACTTGCTGGTCTGCGAGAAACCCTGCGAGCCGCCGAAGGGAGGTGGCGGCGGCGCGGCGAGGGCGGAACTCAGCACCACGGACAGCGCCCGGCCGGACCCTGCGGGGTTCAGCTCCAGGGACAGCCTCCAGCCCGGCACGGCGGAGCTCAGCACCACGGACAGCTCCAGACCCGGTCCGGCAGGGTTCAGCACCACAGACAGCGCCCGGCCCAGTACGGCAGGGGTGCGCGGGGAGATGGCCTCGGTCCTCGGCAGGACCGTGGATGGACCCGAGAGGAGGCTGTCTCATGAAGAGGGCCACAAGCCAGAGCTCACAGACTGGGAGTGGTGCAGGAGTAAATCGGAGAGGACCCCTCGGCAGGTAAAGTGGATATATGCCCTTGCTTTTTCTTGTAATAAGAGTTACGGTTCCGTAAGGCATTAACTTTTGTTTACATTGAAGTTTCTGTTAGTTCTGTTGATAACATATTTATTTTTTGTAGAAAACTTACTCAGTGTTGTATATTTTAGTAACTTCACTCCTATTGTAGATTCTGGTCCTGCAGTGCTCCCTCGTTTGTCTCCTTAATCATAGATTTTTAATTATTACCTCGCATATACCTGCATAATCTGTATATGGGAAGAATTCAGTATGACTTCTATTAATTCATCTTAATGAATAGGATTTATCTCTCCAGATGATTCCAAAAGCTTGTATTTTTAAGAGTATTTCCAAGTACCTGGTGACATTTCAGTCATGCTTACATTTTGTGTAGGGAAAAAGGGAAAACCTTTTTCCCTTGTGTAGGGAAAAAAACAAACCTGAGTGGTGGAACTACCGATGAACACAGGTTTCAGTCAATTCACGAGGACGCCTAGTAATTTTTCATCCATTTCCTTAAGAATGTAGACAATTATCAGGAAGAAGAGATTCTGGGTAATCTTTTAGCTCTGTGAGAAAAGGGTTTGAAGGTGGAGCCCTAACATGTCAGTACTTCAATTTAATGGTTTCTTAAAGATGTCTCTGAACATAGCTGTTGTTCTTGCACAGAGGTCCTGATTCAGCTGCCTCATATTTGCTGTCTGCTTATAGAATCAGAAAGAGCTTTTCATAGCTTAAGAGAAGTATCAGAACCCATAGTTTTTAAGGAGATATCATCTACAACTAATACAGAGCTCCTTGCTTTGTGACTCTTTCACCTATAGGTATATCTTGTTGAACGTACCCCCATTACCACAAAAGCTGGGGTTTGCTCTTAGTGATCAGATTGCATAGCCACTGTTTGTTCAGAGTCCTCATTGGAAGAATCCTATCCTTGCCAGGCTAATGTCCCCTGTCAGCAACAACAGGATCAAGGATTTCCTCAGGTTGGAGGCACTTTTGTTCTGCCATGACAATTCTTGTTGTTAGTGCCCATGCTGCGAGTCTCTGCTTCAACTTCTGAGTTAGGTTCAGCAGTAAAGAGATGGGAGAAAGAATTGTCCAGAATTGCCATTTCTGGAATGACAGGCTGAAACTGGATCCAGCAAAAGAACAGCTATTATCTCATGTAAGAACACAGAAGAGAACTGCCAACTTTTGTTTTCTATAGTCAGTATTTGTTTAAGAGCAAAAATGTCACAACAGCTATTGCAGGCTGAATAGTGAAAAATATTTAATCTCTTAATTTAAAAAGATAAAAGATTGTTTGTGGTTCCCTTGTCAACTGTTCGTTAGACTGGCAACGAGTGTGAGGTTTTCTGTTTCCTAAAAATCTGATGTTACCAACCAAAGGCCAAACATGGGACATGTGGTGCCCATGTCAAGTAAAAATAGAAATGTGCAGCAGCTGCTTGTCCCTGTGGAGTTTACATGCTGCTCTCTTCACATACTGGGCTCTGGAAGGCATCTCACAGTTGTCTAAGGACTGTAAAAGGGCAGTGGTGCATTGTGTTATCTGCACCTGCTGTGGGTGCCTTCCATAGGCAATGGTGTTTATGCTCCAGTTCAAAATTTTGGTCTCCATTATAAATGTACATACTGATCTGGCAGCGTAGATGTATACCCATTCTCTTAATAAACCAGGGTGGTTTTGTGTGCATATAAGAACATCATTTTAATGTTTTAGATGTGATACAGTTCTGTGGTGCTGTAAATTGGATAAGGCACCTGAAGAGACAGTTTTGCCTACTCTTTGGAAGTTTCTCTTGGTGGAATCTAAAAGGAGTCAGGATCAGCTTTCAATTCATAGCGCATGAGCAGCCACAAAACACATGTCCAGGGATGAAAATGGAGGATTTTGAAATACTTCAAAAATATTTTATTACTATTATGGTTTAAGAGAACCACATATTCTGAGGCAGTGCTGATGAGCTAGATGAAGCTTGTGTTTTTGTTGTCTTTTCTGCAAAACTGGAGCTTCTGACAATCTTTCCAATATGTCAATTCAGTGAACTTCACAGTGGGTGCAGCCTCTCCCTGCTTATTTGGCTTGTGATACCTGTTGCTACCTCAAACCTTCCCCTCTAAGGCAGAGCAGGAGGTTGGAAACTAGAAGATAAAGCCAGAAGCCAGAAACCAAAGCCAGGTTGCCCGGCCAGGTGTTAGGTAAGATCTGAGGGTTCTGCTGTGCTCTGTACCATTCAGTAGATGTTTGACATTACACACTGTGTGAAAGAGGTAAGATCCTGAATAAAGTCCACAGGACAGGAGCTGCAGAAGGCTTTAAGCTGGAAGGGACCTCTGGAAGTCAATTAATCCATCTCCTGCTCCAGGCAGGGCAGGCCTGAAAGCTAGAGCAGTTTGCTCGGACCCTTGGGCATCCATAGATGAGATGTATAAGATGTATTTCAATAGCAGAATCCCCTCTCTTTCTGATAAACACAGCTTTATAAATTGAGCCAAAGTAGGAATTTGTTTGATACTTCAGATTCGATTGATCATCCCTTTCATGAAAAATCAAATGTTCACTCCCTTGCAGTGTGCAGTGATGAACTACCGTTTGTGGGCAAAAGTAAATGATGACTGAACCTGTTTTTAATCTACTAGTTCTTGCTACCCTGCTGTGTGCCATTATCTCCCTCTGGCTCTCCTTGCTAGTTCCAGACAGGTTTCCTTTTCCCATTTCCCATGGCTGCCATTTCAAATTGCTAGACCTATGACTTTGCTTTGAACAGGTACAAACATCTCGTTGGGAAGCAGTTGGCAATGACTGTGTGTGGCTGGCTGCGTTTGCCGTGGGGCTTTATATGTCACTTTTGGACAGACTTCTTGAGTACTCGTGTTACAAGGAGTCCTAATTCATCCTTTTCTGACATTTTCCAAGTTATAACCCAGCGTGCAATTGCCAGGCATTAAGGCTCCTATGGTCTAAAAGTTCAAGGCTTCTAAGTTACAGATCTCTTTCTTTCTGACATTCAGCACGAGCTTTCAGAGTGTCACAGTGCTGACATTTGCTTTGCTGGTGAAAAAGGGCAGTGTATGAAATTCCTGCAGGCCTTCTCAAAAGAACTTGAATGCACTTCTCAGATATACGTTGAGTGAAAGATCAGTTTGAGCCAAACATTAAATTAGGTGGAAGCCTTCCCTTTTGTTCAGTCTGCCTGGAAGTGCCTGAGTATCTAAGAAAAGTCACTTTTCCTTGTCTCACCATTGTTCACCGTGTTAAGGACAGAGACTTTCTCTGGCATTTATTGGTCATGTACTTCTGCTTGCTTTGCCAATTAAGCTTGCCAACTGGGGAGAAGATGGCATACCTTACCAGGAAATGGATGATTATCCTAACAGGATGAAAGTCCCTCATCTTCAGTAGTTTCATATTGTAAATGCTTGATAACAGAAATAAGTATAGATGTTCTTATTAGAGTACTTCCAGCTTTCTGTTCAATAAGCAGAACTTGTAATAACTTAGAGTAGGAGGAAGAATAGCAATTACAGATAAATTTTCTGTATAGCTGCAAGCGGTGTGGTAACTGTGTTCTTACGTGCTGAATTTCTGCAGAGCAGAGGGTACAGCTAGTCAGCTTGAGAACTTAGTGAGAAAAACATATAATCATAAAATCATAGAATTGTTTAAATTGGAAAGGAGCCTTAAAGTTCATCTAGTTCAACTTCCCTGCAATGAACAAAGACACCAGCAACTCAGTCAGGTGCTCAGAGCCCTGTACAGCCTGACTGTGAGTGTCTTCAAGGACAGAGTATCCACCACCTCTCTGGACAACCTGTGCCAGTGCCTCACCACCTTTATTGTAAAAAGACTTCTTTATATCCAATCTAAATCTCTCCTTCTTTAGTTTGAAACCATTTCCCCTTGTCCTGTCACAACAGATTTATTCAACTCATGTTAATGAGTCTGTCCCCTTTGTCTTACAGCCCCTTTGAGTACTGACAGGCTCAGGTCTCCCCAGTGCCTTCTCCTCTCCAGACTGCACAGCCCCAGCTCTCAGCCTGTCCTCTTAGGAGAGGTGTTCCATCCCTAGGATTGTTTCTCTGACCCTCCTCTGGATGTGCTCCAACAGGTCTGCATCTCTCCTTTGCTGAGTACTCCACATCTGGATGCAGTAGCCCACGTAGGGTTTCACAGCACAGAGCAGAGGGGCAGTATCACCTCCCTGCTGGTGCCAAGCCTCTTGTGATGCAGCCCAGGATACATAACCTCAGTCCCTTTGTGCATACTTGTTGAAAAAGGATAGTGATTTGTCCTACAGGAAATTAGAACGCATTTCTCTCACACAAAAATTCTGTATCATTTCTGTTCTACTACCTGGTTTGAAAGCCTTTAAAAATAGATAACAGTAAGTACCAGCAAATTTAACAGAATCTAGTGTAGTTGCAGGGAAAAATACATTCCTTATAAAGTTCACTGATGTGCTTTTAGCTTACAGACTCCCCTTTTTTTTAGTTTTTGTGAAGTATTTGTGTTAGAAGCTGCCAAACTCCTAACACAAATACTTTGGAACACAAATGACAGGTGGCTAGGAGGGAAGAGGAAGAAGCAGCCGCTCACCTCTGCTACTACAGAAAATCCATCTTTGAAATTCTTCTATAAAGTTTTTTATCCATAGTGTATCGCAATTCTAAAGAAATGCAGCAGTTTCCTTGGCTTGTGTTTGGCCTTTCTTCCAGATTTCTTTTATTTTCGTAGCCAGGGGCTGATAGGTAGCTCTGCTGTAGAAGTACTGCTCACTGAGCATGCAGCAGGACCTTCATTTCAACAGAACAAAACCTGAGGGCAGCTGGAGGGGGACATGAGAGCTGGATCCCTGTTACTGAGAAGTATGTGGAAGGAGCAGCATTGCATAATACGTGTAAAGTGCTTGAATAGAATAGAAAGTGAATGGAGTGGAATGGAACAGGTTCCTTGAGTTGGGAGGGACCTATAAAGACCATAACATCCACCTGCA